AGCGGATCCGAGCGGAGCCGCGCGGTCTCCGTCCGCGCCCGGGGAAGTGCACTTTGTTTCATTAAAGCGCATGCAATACATCTGGCGGCGCGCGGTGCAGCGCGCCGCCACCGCGGAGTCACGCCGAGAAAAAGAAATGTTTGCCTTAATTTCGCATTCCTTTGTGCCCGTCGCCGTCTCGCGTCGCGTTGCATTGCCGCGCGCGCGCTTCCCTCCACGCTTTAGCGAATAATGCCCGAGCGATGTATAAACTATAAACTATTTTCGTCGCATCGTTCCGGGCTCGAACTTTTCACCCCCCGCGAAGTTCTCTCTTCGTCTTCTTCTACGCTGCTTCGGACGGTGCCATACGAACCGCCGCGTATTTTCATCCCCCGCTCGCCCAAGCTCGCGTTTTCATTTTCTTTATGCCGCCACGCCCACGCACGCGCAAATCCGCGCGCGGAAAAACAAGCAGCGACCTGGCTGCGATGTCCGGATGTTTTCGAACCGGTCGCGGTGATTTCCGTTGCGCCGCGCACATCGGATCGCAAGCAGATCGTAGAGTTTGTTCATTTTGTTCATCAGATTTTGTTCACTCGTTTGTATTTTATATATTATTATTTATTTATATATTTATATATTGTAATATTTATATATTGTAATATTTATACATTATAATATTTATGTATTATAATATCTATATATTCATGTCTATATTCTAATTTTCATTGATTCAACAAAAATGTCACACAACCTGACGTTTCAATTTAAAGAAAAAAATGCGACCAAATAAAATACCTTAATTTTACAAAATTGTGTACAACCTTGGCGTGACAAAGTATTAACATGCCCTGTTCGATAAATGTAAAATAAATTATGCCCGGGATCGGTGCGACAATTTCAGCGAATGAAAATCGAGGTGTCCGCGGCAAAGGACTTCTCCAAAGCAACAGATAATTACCGTAAATCGTGAAGGAGCGAGCGAATCGCGGAGATAGAGACACGGCACACATACACGAGCGCAAAAACACGTACACTGTGCCGCGCTTAATGCTCAATTTGTAATTCACAGCGACGCGTTGGATGAGCGTTTTTCGCGCGAGCCCGATATTATTCGACAAACGGACGAAACATTTGGTTTTATGTGAATGCGGAGCGTGGCCGAGCCAGCGCCGGTATAATAAAACCATTTATCGAGTCTGCCGTGGTTATTAACAACGACGGGATCCAGCGCCGACGAATCGCGCGGGGGACGACAAGTTTGAATAGCCCCGGAGTGGGTGGAACTACGATATCACGGTTTAAGCGCGGCCGCTCGCTTCATCGGCGCTTTTCAACCGACTAATCTGTGGTACAGTAGACCCTCCCTGGTATATAATGCCGGATTCGTTCACCGGTGCGCAAAAATTCCAACATCGTTCCTGTAATGCGATCAAAAACGGCCGTTTACGGTTTCGCGGACGTGTTTTACGAAGACCTCTCGCTCTCGCTCTTTCTCTCTCACTCTCGCTCTTTCTCTCTCACTCTCGCTCTTTCTCTCTCGTTATTTCTCTCTTTCTCTCGCTCTTTCTCTCTCGTTATTTCTCTCTTTCTCTCTCTTTCTCTCTCTTTCTCTCTCTTTCTCTCTCTTTCTCTCTCTTTCTCTCTCTCGATCTCTCTCTCATTCTCGTTTCTCTCGTCCCGATTGTACAATCGTCGCAAACAATCGCTTCCATTGCTTTTGTTCCGTCGAATCATCTGGAAAATTTCAATGGAACTGAACGCCTAATGCTTTTATTGATCATAAATACGGAAAACAATATTTCACCGCCCTTCGTTTCGCTTTTCCTGAGATTCTTCTCCGTCGAGATTTAAATTCTTTTTGAAGCAATCGAAAGAATGCTAACATTTTGGCAGATTTATATGCTAATATTAACTAAATTTCATCAAATTAACGTATTTCTTTCGATTCGATTAAAATTTCAATGTAAAGTTTCAACCACGTCGATTACTTTTTTCAATATTCTCATACTTCGCGAATCTTAACAACGCTACGAAATTACGATAGATTAGCAAAAATATTAACGTTTAAATCTGAGTGAATAATTCCATCGCCCGCGTAGGCGCAACGCAGCGATTAAAACGTTACGAGGACACGATTAGGGGGTGGATAAGGGGTTGAACGCGATTTCTCCCATTCTGTTCGACAGAAAATTATGAAAAAAATCACGAGCCTTCTATATCCTAGGATACACGTTCGAGAATTTTTTCAGATTTTTTGATTGCGAAATCGATTTTTAAATAATTGGAAGATAATGAAATTACCGATTTTATATTGACATTGTCAACCGAGCACTTTTACATTTTCACAATTTTTTCCTTTTGTTGCAATTAGTAACATATAATTTTGTGAGATTTTTCGAAATGGGAGCACGTGTTTAGAAAAATGTAAGACTGATTTCTTTAACCTTTTAGTGCATCCATCCAACATATTTTCTTGATTAAACAGTTGTTACACGGAGATCTAAATACAGTAATTTCTCCCTAATTCGCGGTCAAATTGCGGGCAAAAATGGACAATTTGGGAAGAGGAGATACAGCTATTATTATTATTATTATTATTATTATTATTATTATTATTATTATATATTATACGATTATTTATAATGGTATTTTATTTATAACTCCTCTTTCTAAAAACGAGCCGCAAATAATCGTATCTGCTCCACCCAAATTGTCCAATTTGGTGCGCAATCTGTGCGCGAATTAGGGCGAAATCACTCGTCAATCTCACGCATTAGACGCAACCCGGATGCAACTGTTTCCAGAGTCTCACATTCGCTAACAATAAAAACATAATTTGATCACATTTCCGATTAATCGCGCGCGTGCAAACGGCAACTGGCAGATTAACGGCGAGTCAAGTTGTTCGACGATGTAAAAAATGATTTTTGGAACGAGGGGTGAATAATATCTTGCGTCCGGGTAATTCCGGAATGAAAGAGGAATTATATTACGAGCGTCCTCTAGCGCGAGCATTTACGATCTACTCGAACAGTGTTTGGACTACCTTATATTCGAAGCATGTCGACTGGCAGCGAGGGTGGCAGAGGGAGGGAGGGAGGGAGGGGGTTCCCACGGTGCTTGCCCCCGGTTATTATCTACCGATATCACCCTCTCCAGCCGTCCCGTCGATTATTCCCGCCACCTCATTCATCTCGCAAATATCCGGGGATAATAATCATTTCCCTCGGCCCCGATCCGCCGCGGCGTCGCCGTCGCCGCACCGCGCCTCGCGTCGACGGAAAATAAAAGTTGATCGGAGGGCATGCAATTTAAAAGTTCCGCCCCCTTGAATCTCCACGACAATCGGGGACAAGGCGGCGCGGCGCGACGGCAGCTACCGAGTGTCTGCATGCCTCGCGCCTACGATTAACATTCAACGTATTCTCGAACTCGGTTAATCGACTTTCACGCGGCACGGATCGGCCCGACGTGTTCGCGGCCGTTTCCCAATTACGCGCCTAACGCTGTTATCGATTCCGCGCGATTCCCCGACGCGTAAACTCGTTCGCGGACTCTGTCGCCGATTCTACGGCTGGTTTACAAGGTGCGCTGCGTATTTTTCTTTTTTGCGAGAGTTTTTGTTTTTCGAACGTCGACGAAAATTCCGGTGATTCTTCGCGCGATTCGGTCGAAGTGCCGATATCTTGAAGGACGAGCTTTTGGAAAACCGTCGAGAAACTAGACGAGAGGTATTGCGTTATACTAGAACAAATGTCTACCACAAATGGCTCGAAATTTGGGAACGATGGGACCGCGAGGTCATCTCAAGCAACTTTCTCCTTTGCGAAAATTCAATCCGCCGCTTTGTTTACGAGTTATTGAAGAAAAACGTTGACCAATGAGAGGCGAGCTTGTCCAGCGCGCGAAGCTCGGCTCCGCTGATTGGCTCGGCCGCCTCGCGTCAGGCAAGCTCGTCTCGCATTGGTCAGCGTTTTTCGTTAATATTTCGTTAACGACGCTTCGGAGAAAAATTTTGTAAAGGAAACAGTTGCTTCGAATGACGTCAGGAATCTCTACTTGCCGGATGCGAGACATTTTTCCAATTGTTTTCTTCGTTGTCCTAATTGCGCTTTGAAACTTGACAATATTTCAACAGAGATGATTCTATAGAGTTTCTACGTTTGATTAGGCTACTGTGCTTGCAAATATTAATCTTTCTCTTGATGAAGCTTCGAAGAAAATTACTTGAAGATATGCGGTATAAAAGAATTGCAAAGATGTATTTCATCGAAAGTTCAATAACATAAATGAACGATCTAGAATTATGCTAAGATTTGTAAAATGCTGGAACAATTAACAACGAGATACAAAAGTATACGGAAACTAGAAGGGGTTGAAGGACATCTTTGAACGATATTGAATAAAAATTATTTCCCATTTCCTATTTTCGATTTTCTATGCGATAAGTGGACAGCAGATTTTTATACAAAATGAAAATGATCTGCATGAATTGCAAGATATTGACGCGTAAGCACAATTATTTTCGATTTTTCAATATCTCGAATAAGTTCAAATGAATAGGTGAACATTATCAGTTTCTTCGAATCTTATTGTTTTAGACTACACCTACTCGTTTTTGCCATAAATGCATAAAATCCAATAATAACTTCTCAACTGTGACCGTGGTCGCCAAAAGATGAATTCGCTAAATCGTGTAATAGAACGTATCGGTTAAAACATTGTTCAACCCTTTGCACTCGAGCGACGACTCTGATACCAAGAATAGCTGCTAAAAAATGTCGCTATGTCCAAAAGAATTTTCGCGTTATTGAATTCGCGTGTGTTCTATGAACTGTCGAACAATAGAAAAGTCTTGTAGAAGCGTTCGATTTCACGTGTATCGAATGAAAATAATTGGAAACAATTGAAAGCAATTGGAGACGCTATAAGATCGAAACAAATGACATCATTTTCGTGTGAAAACGGTCTCGAGTGCGAAGGGTTAGCGTCGATTCGAATTCTCGGCAACGTACCTTATTTGCGTAGCAATTTGCGATAATGCTGGAAACGGGAAAAGCTGCGTAGATACGATTGTTTCGTTCGGAGAGCGTCGATATGAAAGGCGGCTGCGGTTGACCCGACCTCGACGCAACGCCGACTCCCATTAAGTGTCGCTAATCAGTCCGCTAATCCATCTCTCATCCTCGACACTCGGCCCACCACCCCTCCGATTCGTCGTTCCCACTCTCGCGAACATCCCCCTTCCCTACACCAGCTCCCGGTTTAGAGATAACAAATGCCAGCCAGAGTACGATCATGACGTCGCATTCGTTTCACGCCACGGGGCGATCAGCTGTGTGCCCTGAACCTTTCTTTTCTGCTATTTATTTACATTCCAATTGCGAACCTTTCGACGCTGTCGCTGACGAGGAAATGTTATTTAGCTATGAATTTCCCAGGGAAATATTTGGGGAGCATTATGTTATGGTATATTTATTTTTATATTATATTAATGCTGTTAATATTGTATTTGTGTTATATTATATTGGAATGTTATTAATAGTATATTAATATTATATTATATTGGTATATTATTAATATTATATTGATATTATATTATATTGGATTATTATTAATATTATATTGATATTGTATTATATTGGAATATTATTATTATTATATTGATATTATATTATATTGGAATATTATTAATAGTATATTAATATTATATTATATTGGAATATTATTAATATTATATTGATATTCTATTACATTGGAATATTATTAATAGTATATTGATATTATATTATATTGGAATATTATTAATATTATATTCATATTCTATTACATTGGAATATTATTAATATTATATTCATATTCTATTATATTGGAATATTATTAATATTATATTGATATTATGTTATATTATATTGGAATATTATTAATATTATATTGAAATTATATTATC